CGTAGGCCGATCGACCTTATTAATCGGCCGGATGGATCAGGCCGATGCTAGTACATATGCTAACTGGTTGAAAAAAACCGCAGTATACAAAATTACAGCAGCAATAGTGATAACTTAACGCTAATCGTGACTTGGGCGCACCGGTCTTTTCCGGCAACCTCTACCGGAATCTCACCTCTCCCACATGAAACGCCAGTGTACGCCATCTAGTTAGCCTACGGTAGACCACTAGTTATGCCAGGCCCAATCAAGCGAGCAAGTATGAATCGATCCCAGTGATCGGCTAAGAAAATTGGCACAACCTGAGCCCGAACATAGCCTAATTCATTTACGTAACTGGCGAGCATCACCAGATTACCCGGAGAAAACCATCTGTTCCATCTGACATAGTGGAGAAAATGTGAACCGGTAGCTTCGCTGAATCGCCTTCGCAGTTTCATAAGCATAAATACCCGTGTGCACAAAAGTGTACCTTGTAAATTCTGCTACCCACTAACGTCGAACAACTAAGCATACGCCAATCGGCGCATTAGATTTAGAAGTATAAAAAATGAACGATTCTCCGTGAATAATCAGCCGGTTCGATTGACTAGTTGACTAAAATAATCGATACATCATTGGCGAAGACCAATTTTTTCTTGAGGCTGAAGACGGACACTTGGATGGTAAATTTGCTTCTTCCTTTATCGATTCATTTCGAGGTTGCTCACAAAGCAGAGTTGGTTGACCCGTATGTGACCAGTTCTATCAAATAAGTCTTGGTCAGGGAAGATGTGCACGTATGTGAGCTTTTGACAACTAAATGATGGGTTCCCGTCAGTCTGTCTAATTTAGTCAAACTGCAGACAACATTAAATTATCCGAATAGTCTTTTATTCATGCCTGCAAAGTGTAAAGTGCTGCTTCAAGACTGGGTGGGCTCGGACCTTTATCTCATGGAAGTCTTTAAAAAAACTTAATGTTTGACCATCAATGTCTTTGAAGCATTGCCCGAGTCTGGCGGGAGCGCCGGATCCGTAATGCTGCAGTACGTCTAATGCGTTCAGGGGGAAACGATTCGCCCACGATGTGTGAACTGATCACACTCTACAATCTGCGTTGGTTTCGTCACGTGTTCAGTTTCCCAGTCGACCAACTTCCTTGAAGAGACCTTTCCGAAAAAAACACGTAAAAGGTGAAAATCAGCCCTGGGCGGTCAAACCATGTTGAGGATAGGAACATGTATGGAGACGTGTTGCGTGAAAATCGTAATGTACTTGCATTTTCAACCAAACATCATCACCTTGCGGTCAGGCTTTTGAGCCAAAGGCTTCAGTTGAAGACACTAATCGTCCTCCTGCGCGCCCTGGCGGTATCCCAGCTCATGTACAACCATGGACTGCACATATACAAATAAACACATACCACATCGGCCGTCGCGTGGTGCCCTCAGCCGGGTTGCCTTGCTTGCCCTATTCAGCCGGGAGGGAAAGCGATAACAAGCTACTGCTGACGCATCTCTTCTCTCTGTTTCATATATCATTTCGGTTATCGGAGATCTGAATGCACAAGTGGGCAGGCTTAGCGCATCTGAGACTCATACAGGGGGTGGACATGGAACAGACTCGAGACGTACGGAGAGTGGTGAGCGGTTGCTTCATCTGTGCACTGAACGCAAGCTGCTTTTATGCAGTACTAACTCCCGAAATAGCCGAAGTCTTTTTGCCACATGGCTTCCTTGTATGGCGAACGGGCTACAAGCTCAAACTGATCAAATTGCCATCAGCTACCGATGCGCGGATCAATAAATGAATAGCGCTCGTTTTAGAACACATTTTTGGATTCCGACCACACACTTGTCCGGAGTCATTTCTCCCATCGCTTTCTAGGACCGCGTAAGGTGTGGACAAATTGCATAACGACTGAGAGACCGGCAGATCCGGATGTTAAACGAATTTACCAGAATCATCTTTTAGAGTCTCTTCCAAACGCTCCACTATCAGATTTGGGCTCATACTGGGACTGAATCGCCACCGGTTTGCACGGTGCTGGGACTTTTGCCTGCAACACGACGCAACCAATTCCATTCAAGCACTCGATATCAGACGGAACACTGGCACTATCTGCATCTCGGAGAAGTATCCCCGCCGGCCCCGAACATAACACGGACGGACGGATTATCAGACGTCGAGTGAAAGTGAATGTGCGCGCCGACCGTGACGTCTAGTGGACACAGAATGCTAAGCAAATGGAAGAGGCCCAGAAAGCTGAGAATGCGCGAAAGTTGTTCCATCTGATCCATGCCAGGAAACCAGTTGTGACCAAAAAATCAAGAATAAGAATGAAGCGACCATTTCAATAAAGAACGCCTCGATCTTTGGGTGTCATGGCCCAGTGATTAGAACGAAAATGCACCGATCGGAAGGCCCATGTTTCGAGCCAGATCTCAGGATCTCGATTTCCTCGGTTTAGGGTTGGGCTACCTGACAGTATCCCAGCCCTCGTGCTTTCTTCTACTAGCATAGCAGCTAGGCACTGAGATGGTGCTACAGCTGAGCCGAATACTTCGAACAACATTTAACGTGGCCACCAGCTGCCACTCACCTGCAGCCTACAGACGACGCCGAACCATATACTTTGAACCTGGAAGCCCTACGACCTTGGCGGTTTATGACTGCATATGCTCTCCCAAGCGCCGCCTAGTTTCTCGCCCGGATTGCCTCCCACCAACGGTTTTCAAAGGTGGGCAGGAAATCCTCAGTCAAGGCTTATTTGATCCGCTTGCCTGTGTTTAGGAAAAGTAGACCGTCTCAGACAACCAGGGAGTGTCGGTGATAGTGGCAATGTTTTAGAAAGTGGCCTGTATTGAGGATGGTAACCACAGGATAATCAGCTTAAGCCTGGTTGTAGCGAGACTGCTGACGTCAATTATACATTTTAACCTTATGGCGGCTCGTGAGACGCTAACTCGAGAACACTAAGTGGAATTCCTGGGTTGCAGGAATGACGTCCATCAAATCTTCTCAGGAGCTAGAACAACGTCATACGTATAAGCGACCGACAATTTCAGTATTTCTGGATTTCCAAGGTGCATTCGACTCGGCTGATTGGTCAGTTCTCTTTGACACGCTTGCCCACCAAGGAATGCTCCGGAAGTTTGTGAACGTAGAACGTTGTTTTTATTATCAGACTTCCGGATGTGTGCGGAAAGCTCTCTAAAGGCCTTGCCAGACAAGCCGTTCTCCGCAACGATTGCCCATTCTCTCAATTATTATTTAATTTTATGATCGATGAGACAAAGAGACGAACGCTGGAAGTTTTTCAAAACCACAGTGTTCAGATAGACTCTCACGAAAATATTATCGATCTGGAATTTGAAGGCAACATATTTCCCCTCTTCGAAGAGAAGAAGGTGCACGTGTTTTTCACTGACCTTGACAAAGTTATCCAGTTCTTTGGTATGCACTTTGCACCCACAAGGTGTAAGGTCGTGCTCCTGGACATGCAGTCATTGAACACGCCACTTGCAACCAGGGATAGGTCCCAGATGTTGTGGGGTGTTTTTACGAACCTTCAAAGTTGTATTGCTTTAAATGTACTGTGACAATATGTGTGAGATCAATGCACGAATTCGCGCCTGGTTGTAGATACTGCAAACTATAGCTTCTTATCAATGTCAACGGAGTTCTTGTTGTCCATCTCTATCCAGATCGCCTGAATGAGTGTCTGGAGGTGTAGGCACCTCGGAATGACGTAGTAAGCTAGCACTAACTCCCTTCCACGTCCATCTTTATCCTTTTCTTCAAACAAATCATGGCAGTATGCCATCGAAGCATCAGTATTGAACGCTGATACAGTGCTGTCTACGATGATGATGATGATGATGATGATGATGATGATGATGATGTAACAAAGCATAGCTGGCCTGCTGATTTCCCCAACTAAGAGTTCACTGACACCCCCATATTTGCGGATCAATTATATCAGCTACGGACTTCAAAGCTTACCGCACCTCTCTAACGAAACAAAGACATCTTTCGCCACTGTATGCAAGTACCTGATTTTTACAGCCGAATATAACGAGGACGATCTAATGCATTAAGGAACGCCATGACTTAGACAAGGACAACACAGATAGGGGGACTTTGGTTGGACTTCAACCAGTTTGAAGTGCAAACGTAGGCAGCAGACACGGAAGTGTTTCCTGATCGTTCGTGATGGTAGCAGTAAGAAAGGGAAATAATAGGCTGAAAGCTGCCGACTGACCAATCGCCCGGGTTTCACTGATTCACGAGAGTCATTCTTTGAACTTGGAAAAATTTGTTATAGACTGCATGGTAAGAGGCCAAGGCCATGTCTCCACAATTCCTGTTGTGAATGAATTGTTCCTCGGGCAGGAAAACTTAAGTCAGTTGAATGTAAAGATAATTTTGTTTTATCTGAAGTTTGTAACCCTGTAACAGTAAAAATCTAGGTTCAGTAACATTGGAGAATTGTTGGATATTAGAAGGAAACGCGGAAACCCCATTTTGTCCAGACTGGTGGTTTTCATGAATTGAGTATACCCGCCTTCACAGTCAAGATACGAATTATACACTTAGAAATGGTTGTCCTTTATGAATCGCGTAAACTTTAATGTAGGAATCTGTTGACCGAGGAACCTGAAAACAACGGATCAAGAAAACTAAATCGATGTGAGTGATCAATATTTGATGCCATACTCCTGTGAAGGTCGATGACATTATTGGCAAAAGGTTACGGGCTCAAATCCTCTTAGTTTTCTGTGAGATGCACATCTGTATGATTATCAGCAGGCATGAAATGTTTGTCCATTGATTCCTGAGTTATACCAGTATGATTGAATGGGATCCACTTTCTTCAAAATAAGTGGACTCTGTACAGTAAGTGGGCAATTCACTGTCATCTAAACGAGTCAATGAAGCTTTTTGGTCTTGAAAGGAAACACTTAAGCAAGGAAAGTGCGAACAAGCCTAATTTTAACTATGAGAAAAAAGACTTACCTGAGTTCTCCGGTGGCTGGGTAGAAGACATAATCCGTATCCAACGCGATTGCGGTAACACCTTCCTCTCGTACTTTCTGCAAAATCAGACCCACTGTGTCATGCAGAGCAGCCAGTACTTGACATCGAAATCCAGGCATATTACCCGCTTGTTCCCAGGCGTCTAGCTGAGAGAGGACAGGAGGAAAGTAAGTACAGAAATGTCTCATCAGCACACAGGAAGAAACTGGATGATTTATCTCCGAATCTGAATTGCCATCGGTCACTTTTTACACAGCACTGGACTGCTGGCCTACAGGCGTGAATCTCAACCTACTGTGTCCTCTAATTAGGAAAAATGGACATAACTCCTAACAACATTCGGTAGAAGTCGGTTTCTTCTCCCATTTTTCTACCCTCTGAATCTCGTAGGGAGAAAGCACTCAGTATCAGACACTACTCATTAACATCATCGGTTATCTGGACGGACTGTGAGTTGCCAACACGTGGTGACCTAGAGATGCAAACGGTATCTGCCATAAACTCCACAATCCCCAACTTTTGGATACTGACCTGGTGAAAGAGGTTTTCGCTTGAATTTATAAAAAAATCTAAAAATGCCTTCATAAATTCCACTAGGTGCCGTCTATTATTTCAGCTCGGTTTCCTGAAGTCTCCGTCGCGTGGAAACCGACGGTTGCGGAAACCGACCTGCTTAATGGAAGGCGAGGACTTTGTAATCACCTACATACACAGTTCTCCCAGGGTCAAATGTCATACGTGTGGAAACATTTCTATAACTGACCGACCGTTACCTTGGTTAGTCACTGGCTATTCATCGGTAGTCAAAAGGCTCGTCAGTGACCACCAACCAACCTTAACGATTATGACGGGTACAAACTCATCACGGTTTGGATAGTCCGTAGTGTTTAGTGGTCATGACTGGATTCTTTCATCAGATGGCTTTTTGCTTGGGAACTTCTCGAAGGCATTCCACTCCAGAGGAAGACGTATCAAGAAGGATCCAAATCGGCACCACCTATTACTAGTCATATCAGACAGTAGAAAAATGTTGCATTCCTACCGTGTCTACTCTTGGTGGGGACCATGTACAGCCTACCCGCCAACTAGTGCAAATTGTTTACCTGTCTCCTAGGAACCTTAATTTGTTTGCTTCTCTGCACCATTTAAGGCATCTTTTATTTGAGATTCTTGCTGCACAAATGTCGAAGGTCATTTAGAAAGAAGAAGGATAACGTAACCTTATCAAATCCAACACAAAATAGAATGATACCGGTAGCCGCTAAAACAAAAAGTACGACAGGTGTGCAACCAGGATTGAGAAACACGGGCAACTTGAATTTATACGCAAAGAACGCGTGAGCAACATACTCTTTCCGCGACTTTCGGGTTTGCAAAGTCTTGCAACGCTGGTCCCCTACTGGCTAACGAGCATGTGAATCCAAGACGCAAGCCTGTTCCATGGGATAGTGGGTTCCCGGGAACCGTCGCACGAAATGATGAGCTGATACTTGGTAACTGGGCTTGAAAGGTGACGTATGTTCTTGGCTCATTACCCTTACAGTCACTCCCAGAACAGGTGAAGCGTTTGGGTTCAGGAGCCTTTGTGTGTTCTGTGGGCTGGTTTGATCGACAAGAGCACTGATAGGTTATACGAATCACGCGCACCAAGAATCGGTCTCGATAGTGTGAGCGTAGACGTGGCCGTAGCAGATGATGCCGATCTGCCTGAAATACAGATAAAGTAAAATCACACAGTCCTTAGCATACTTTTCACGTTAAATGTCGTATAGAGTCACGTGGGGAAAGGTGTTCTGCAGACTAACTCTATTTAAATTAGTTTTGTCAAATATCGGGTCTTCAAATACGTTGCAAATACACAACTAAAGCGATCAGGCCTTGTTGACGTAGAAATGGTTCCACCCTTGGAAGATGTAGTAAAATACTTTGTTCGACCTAATTTCGGAAAAAAAGTTTGATGAATCTTAGAGCCGTTAAGTCTTATTTTTTTGAACTAAGAACCAGCCAAATGTAAGAAACAACGGGGGATGTACAGTGTGACACAACTGCTTAGAAAGGCACCCAAGCTGCTTGAATGTTTATCACTAAATGGAGACTAATATGGTCACAAAGTGCATGCACTGAGATAAGTTTGAAGTGGAGCTGGATTCAAGAAACCTGTAGACTGCTCAGCTGGTCGGAGGAAAGAAGGCGGTGTATCGGATTGGGCAATGATGTTTAGAATTGTGAGTGTACTTCCACTTGTTTGTAGCAAAGACTAAGGGTCTCCCAGTTGTTCGATAAGATTTGGTGACCAAGGCTCATCAAATTCTATGTTTGCGTACAATTAGAAATTGTAACTTTGATTACATCCCGTTTGTATGCCCTGGAGCAGTTGGCTAGTTCTCTCGTTCACGTCCCTTGAGCGAGAGTCTATCAGTCAACATCCTTGTAACATGAGTGAAACAATTGACTTTCTATCTAAATAAGGCAAATAGTCCATTCAGCCTCCAGCTTTCTAATCGAGAATCTCAAGCTATTCCGATAGGTAACTATATTTGAAGTTTAACTGCACTGCATGTATCATCAGCCGCGGTTTAGGAAAACACAGCTGAATCGTAATGATGCATAATCTATTTAAGTGTTTGCGCTTTATTCTAAGCGTCCATTGCTGAAATCTATTCGGTACGCTTCCCGACCTTATTTGTCTACACAGTTCACGAACATCGAATGGGGCGACGATACCAACGAAATGTTAAGGTAGCTCAGAGCGATGGATACGTCTGACATCCGAGTGGCACTCAAGGGTCACGAGCTTGGTTAGGGTGTCTTAGATGTCTTTATGTAGCTTTGAGTCATCCGGTTGCGGGTGGACAGAATAGCCTCGAGATGCTTTTGGTGACTTGTGTGGCTTCTAGAGTTATTTTCTATCCCAGACTAGAAAGAAATCGTCCATTGGTGACACCATTTCGGTGCCTAGCTGCCATGTCACCCGAAGGAAGCACGAGGACTGGGAAACCGCCAATTTGCTCAAGCCCAGACTGGGGAAGTCGAGAGGCGGAGGTCGGGTTTGAACCACGGACCTTATAGTCAGTAAATTCGAACTCTGACCACTAGGCCATCTCGCCACCTTTCGAGAAGAAATATGCCAATATTCCTACGCCGTTCCTCAAGCTGTTTCAACACAGAAGTCTACAGTAAAAAAATCTGAGATCTTTTGAGTGACGTGTCGCATCCATTGTCCAGTAGTTCATCTCTCTATTAACCCTGTCTCAAGAAAAGTATGAAGTTAAAAATTTCCTGGTGATTTTTTTACGACAACCTTGACGTAGTTACGCAAAATCTAGGTCAATTAATCTAGGCAGTGTCAGAAAATTGGGAGAAACATCCAGGTAGTCATTTTTATTCTGAAATGGTCCACAAACCCTTCTCACGAAACAGGTCTTGGTGTGTCGCAAACTTTCTTTCGTAATCCTGTTGTCAAAATTGAATCATTAGTAGTGTGAATGAAGCTACCAGTAGCTCGACTACTTGCCCGGTTTTCCTCTTGACTAGTTCAGCGTGCGTTGGTGAAAACGAGTGTGATCGTTGTAAGCGATTGTTTGTTCGTCCACCATGAAATCAGGCCCCAGATAAGCCTTCTACCCGAAATAATAGATACACCGGCAGCGGACTGAACCCCCACCAATACAAAGTGATACTTCGTGAACATAACCTCCACGTGTTCTGTCAAATTCATCTGAAAGGTTAGTGAGTTTTTCGTAGGGGGTCGGTAGCTTCTTGATAATATACTACCTCCACGATTGTGCAAATTCTGCGCGTGCCTAAACCTCACAAGTTTCACTCATCGGGATATCATTTAAGGTATTAGGTTATAGTAATGTTTGTTTTTCGCTTTAGTTGCAACGGAGTACTGCATTCCCAATAAGTGGTTCTTTGCCTCAGGTCAAATATGATGACACTAGAAGAACATTTGTTTAGTGTTACAACTTATTGTTTGCATACCGCAATGTAGACTGTTGGTATCGCGTGACTCTGTTGCAATGCAACTTGTAGCGGTCAAACTTTCAGCAAGACAACAAAGATAACTATTCACCGGAATTTCAACCAGTTTGTTTAACACATAACAAACTGTGTTACCTGCTTAAAGTAAGCAAAACAGTATTGAGGTCTGTGACAAGTATGCGCAAAAATGAGGGTATCCCATGTTCCTCGGGACCTCGTTAATAATAGTTCATGAAGAACTGAGGTCTAGCGTAGTTTGTGACGAATTCCGCAAAACTTCGGCTTTTTAGTCTTTCATGCATAGTTGCTGTACCATATGGTCATGAATCTTCCGTTTTCAGGTGAGGTAAACAGCTTCCCACCAACTAATCCAATTTTATTCACTACCTAGGAAAGGGGAGTGAGGCAAGCGTAGTAGGATGACTACCATTGAGCTGAATGCACGAGAGAAATCTGGACGCTTTTGTTAAGCCACCCATGCTTCCAAGTGGTTAGGTAGCAGTTGTTGAGCAAAAGAACTCTTGTACGTGCTTGGTGAATTTGAATGGCGCATTTTCATTAGGTCCAAGGGGGACAACAATTCAAAGTTCAATGGGCCTCTCCTCATTTATCAGGATACTCCGAACGTATTGGTTAGTATTTTGGAGAAGATCCGCACGAACCTGTCATAATAACTACGCAAACCGGAGACCGAATATCTTCCCTAGGGAAGATCAACTCCTAATGCGAAGAATTCATAACCCTATGAGAAAACGTCAACCAGTTCACTGAGGACTCTGTTGAAGAAAGACAAGGCGGTTTGCTTGTACTACAACACACCATTTAGGAGATAAGGTTCAAAACAGCCCGAGAATAGTGTCCCCTCGAGTAAGTATTTTTGGTATTTTACATAGGTTGTCCACTTGTTCAATCGAGTAGAGAAAGATATTTTGGCCGACGAAATAAGCATATGGAAAATCCCACCCTATTTCACCTACGTCTGTTCGTGGATGGCGCATGAAACTCACTTCTATTGACTGAATGTCCTTATCGTGACTACAGGCAAAAGCTAAGGGCGATTGTAGTGTGCCTTTGAGCGCACTACGACAAAATACCTCACAACGACAATGAGTGAGAGGAACTTTCGGCCCTCGTGACCACGAATGAGGGTTACAAACGCCCCCAAAACAGTGGACTTTAGAAGAACGGCGTCACTCAATAGAAATTTGGACCAAGCAAATGCATGATCCTCCCAGCTAAATCCCAATGACGTCCATCTATTTTGAGAAACAGATAAGTAGGTTAACGCTTCTCAAAACACGCCATTACGTTTTGGGTGGGTTACGTTTGCACCGAGTATCTTTGTTCACCAAACAACAATTACGTATACGCAATGCCCCTGGTTTATTTTGGTCGTCACAGTCGCCGACCTTCTCGTTTGCGGTCCGTTCCCTCTGTCTCTTTCCACGAATCGTTCAGTTTGTTCATTAATCTGAGCTTATCAGTGCTTGGTTATCAGACGCGAGACCTTCGCCTCTTTTTGCACAGGAAGTTTCCCGTTCGCCATCACATTAGCAGAAGCTTTTCCCCATGGCCAGTTATCGTAAATCTTAATACAGCCCCTGGTCCGTTCCTTTTTACAAGAATGTCAGTGAATGCTGACTCTATTTTCATGCAAAAGGTGGTACAAAAGGTGGAGTTAATTCTAGACGAGAATTAGTGGTTATTTGGACAAAGTTGAGAAGGTAAGTTATATAAACTATTTCGTAACTCTAGGGAATAACATCTTGCATAATCCATTATTAAGCGAAAATCTCAACGACAAATCAAAACCTCAATGAACTTGAACTTTTAATGCTTGAGCATCATTTTTGTTTTTCCATAGGTGAGAACGATTGACCTCTGTATTGCTGCTTAGGATTGTACTTTTCAATTCCTAGTTTTAGAACAGTAAATACATCAATAATTCTTCGTGTTTGAACTGCAATTGTTTGCTCACCAGACATCTAATAATGCTGAAATGTGAAAAGGCCAACGGCTTGTCACAAATGATGGAATAGTTTCACACTAGACCAGGGGTGGCACATCATGAAAAAACTAGGTCAGTGAACGTTAATGTCAGAGTTTTTGATCAGGGAAATTGGTCAAACTTCAGTGGGCTTTGTTGAGATGTCTGTTTTTTTCTAAATGGCAGAAGTATGTTCGAAAAAAGGATTCAAAACACGCACACAAATTACCCGTGATTCTTGGTCAGTATGGATTTTTCAAACTACTTGAGACAATTGGATGCACAGCATTCTGGACGTGATAAACCTAATTATGAATTAGAACTGTCTGTATTTACAATTAGAGGAGCTTTGCGCGTTTGTTCAGTGAAGAGAACTTGGAAACACTTCATCACAAATAAGAAACTAATCACAAGGTTGCTGAAAACACTTCGACAGCCCACGACCGGTTTCGCCCCTCTTGGGGTTCATCAGGTAGGCGCAGTTCTCGAGTTTCAGTCAACCTTATGTTCCACTTGCATCCAAATTGGACTGTAGGGGCGTTTTCAGCAACGTTGTGAGTAGTTTGCTTTATGAGCATATGTTGCGATATCTCGAATATCGTGCCAACTGAATCATGGGGCGGCCTGTGTGCAGCACTTTCAGTTGTAGAATATCATAAACGAGAGATTTGGTTGAATCTCTCGTGAAAACCAAATTGATTAGCAAATGAGTGTATTTCTCGAAAACAGTCCAACC